GCGCAATTCAACCAGGATCGAGCTTTGTCCGTTGCTTCATTCTTTGCCTGGAAATTAATCCGTACTTTAATTTAAATTGAAGGTTTGCCTTCTTCTCATTCTTCTGCTCTAGTTGACTTCATTCCATATTGGCAAAGTTGATCAAATCAATACTTTCAGCTTTGACGTGTTAGTATCCTGGTCTTGCACAGCCTTCTTCCATTACCATCCATCATCCACCATTTCAGGCTTCAGCTTTTTTTCATTTTCTTATTATACCTGGCGCTAATGGGGTCCATGATCGATTAGAATCGAAAATAACCACACTAAGAGAAAGTATCCGACCAAGCCGGCTAGGCTACTAAATTATTGCCTTTTCTTTTTCTTTATCACGATAGTGATTCAAATCGAATCGGAAAAATGAAATAATCAAATTTATAATAATAAAAGAAAAAGCAACGTTAAAAAAAAGAAATACATACTGAAACATGGACGAAAAAGGAAGTTTCACCCATTCGGGCCCTTCCCAAGTGACAACTTGTTTACAAACAACTTCATATTTAATGGCAATGTCAGAGAGGAGGGGGTGTGAGATAGATACGTTACAGCTTACAAGGGCCCAACCACAACTAATTAACTAACTACTAGTGGACTACTAACTACCAGCAGCGCCATCACCACTAACTCCTGGAACTATAGCGTAGCCGTACTACCGACTAGCGTTCAGGATAAGCGTATCGCCAACAAAGTCGGTCGCATCCTGGCCGGTTTTCTTGGCCCTCCTTGGCTGGCCCACATCAGGATGCGTAAATTATTCGGGCCAAGCGATTCTGGCGGGGAGGTGTGGTGGTCAGGAGTTACTGCTGACACTAAGCTATACTAGTACTTACAGGGCTGGGCTGGGTTGCAGCTGATGTCTCACATGGGGCAAATAGGAGATAAAAGAAAACAAGACTTTCTTCGATGAAGGATGCGACTGTTGTTATTTACTTAGATTAATTTTTTGAGGACCTCCATCCGGTGCAAGGTACGGCGTATCACACTTCACAAGGCAGTTGGCGTAGTAAGTCAGTAAGAAAGTAGTACAGTAGTGCAGGCTGATGTTATACTTGGATTATGAAGGAACCTGTCTACATTATCTAACTGCAAGTTACCAGTTGCAGTAGTACTGTGTGTTTGTTTGGGGCCAAAGTGTGGTCGTCTTAATTATTTATTCACGAAACAAGTCGTTGGGTAACACTTATACTACCTATGCAGGAATCACAAACCCATCCAAGTGACGAACCGGTGGTATGTAGATTAGATTGGTACTAGGTAGCTAGCTTGCTGCACCTTGTGTTCAGTGCTACAACAACCCAAGTATGGGATAGGATTAGTATACATAATGTAATGTGTGTACACCCTGCCATCATGTTGTGGGACTCACACTAATGTATGTTCTCCGTCTGGATGTTCAAACTCCTAGTTTAGCGAAGTAGTAGGGTGTCACTCACTCACTCACATTGCTAGATCCAACGCAACACCCGATTTGATTTCCGACGTCTCCCATCCCACTCTGGCGCCTATGGCGGACAATAGCTATCGCACCTACATATCACCTGCATAGCCTTGTTTTTTGGAATTGCTCGCCCCTCTTCTGCTTTCCTTCTTTACTTTTCTTTTCTGTCTCTCCACCCATGTATGCAAGGCGATGCGGAGAGTCCGGAGTACCACCATACCTATCTGAAAATAGATCAGCGGGTGTGTATGTATGTACACACTCACATACATACACACATCCATACATTCTGAACAGATCGTCTTCCCTTGGGCTGGCTGGGGGGGTTAGTGCAGCGAACCTGTCGATATTTTGTTGAACAATGATGTCAGAAGGCAGAAGAATGTTATTATTCTTTTGCTTTTACTATTTGTTTTTACTTTTTCTTCCTTTCCTTTTCTTCACACGCTTAAAACGGTATTTGCCCGTACCACTGGAATCTGCCTCCCTCCTCCCTCACTCATGCAACTGACGATCATAGCAGTCCGGGGAGACCGTCTAGATACACAGAGAACAAGAGTTCCCACATATCTAAGTTAAATAGGTGTATGGAACCAAACAACAAACGCTCTCCCCGCCCCCCTCTTCCCCTCCCAACGTGTCACGGACAGTTAGGTTGGCGATACAATCAAGCTTTTTCGCCTCCCAGGCGAGGGATATTAACCGTGTGTGTGTAATGTGAACAAGAAACCTTGTTTATGGTCATACCCAAGGTACCATGACACCTTAAAGTGTGTGAGTCGACTGAACCTCATTCTCCATCTGCGACCAATCGGACTTTGAGCGTGACTCAAAAAAGCCCAAAGACTAGACTAGACTAAATAACTAGCGTGGATTGTTTCACTGATCTACTGTGACTGATTCCATATTTTTCGGACAGGGCTTGTCTGAGAGAGAGAGTGTGTGTGTCTGTGTTGCCTGCTTTTCTATTTTCCAGTTGTCTGTGGTTCTTGCGTTTTAGTTACTCCGTCCGTGGGTTTAGCTGAACTGGACTATTTGCTGTAGAGGATGTATCTACTAGTGAAGTAAGTGAGATGAGTAATGTGTTTTTAGGTAGTGTGGTAGGGTAGTAGAAGGTTCGCTGATCGGGGAGGAGCTCTAAAGTTTATTTTTCCTTCCAGTTCGCCTTCAACTTACTTATCAGGCAAGCGAGGCACTGGGTGACATGGTTTGGATCAACCTGGAACCAGCAATACTAAACTATCTACGTAGGTTAGTAGGGACGCTATGCGTTCCGGACAAATGCGCAATGGGTCGCTAATCAGTGAGACCTGTCTGATTCAAAACTATTCTATCTGTACTCTGTAGCTTTTTTAAGTTATCATACTGTAGTAGCCTGTGTTAGGCAAACGCCCTTTCCGTACCTACTTAATCTATGTATCGTGTCTATCTCTCTAGTATGATACGAAAAAAATCAGTCAGTGTGATCAATACAAATATTCTGATTTATTTATTTATTTATTTATTTTTCTGTTCTTCTTTTCTTTTATCTCCCCTGAGTTCCCTTGCATAAACTCACGTCACACAAGAACAAACTTGCTTTCTGGGAATTTTGTGAGTCAAGATTTTTTATAGTTACCCGCTACCAAAGTATGCATGTATGTATGTATGCCTGGATTTACTCCTTAGGCTACTACTACTACCTACTGCTTGGGCTCGGTTATGCTCCAATGCAACCCTTGATTCGGAAAAGGTTTCTGAAATGCCAAGGGGGTTAGAGGGTGTGTGTGTAAGTAAACAGAAACAGGAGAAGAGGAGCAGCCATTTTGTGAAACGTTGCACGGGCTTATCTCCACTAGCATAATTGGTTTAAGGTAGATTATTCTTCCTCTCTTTCTTACTGGGAGAGATGGTGGGTGGGAAAGATAGTCAGGCTATTCATTCCATTCATTCGTGTTTTCTCAATAATTGCGAAAGTTGGGTTTGGCCGGTGTAATTTGTATGCATGTAAGAGATTGACGCTTTGATTCATTTATTTTGTTACTTACTTTTTATTTGACAGTCGCGTAGTTAACTATTTTGGATAATTAGATTAAGGTGTCATCGTGTTGGATGACGCGCTTGGACTTTGATGGTGGGCTTGTGGGTGGACGTGGGGGGTGGCTGTATTTTATTTTGTTCTATTCTATGTTATTTCGCTTTAATCTAATTCAATGTAATTGATATGCAGGAATTTTTCCAGACTAGATGGAGCCTGTTGTTTGCTATTGCTATGGCAGTGGCAGTGGCATTGAGTTGTTGCTGTTGCTGTTGCTGTTGCTGTTGCTGTTGCTGTTGCTGTTGCTGT